GTCGCTCGGATCCCGGGGGGGGGGGCCGTGAGCAAGCCAGGTGCCGTCTCGTGTGTCCGGCAGGAATGCCCCCCTGCAGCCACCTCGCTGTCTCTCAGACCACCCCCTTTATTTCCTGGGGCTGTTGGAACAAGTACCACACGCTGAGTGGCTCGGCAAACAGACGTCTGTTCTCTCTCAGTTCTGGAGGCTGGAAGTCCCAGCGGCCGCAGGGCTGGTCCCCCCTGAGGCCGAGCGGGGGGCTCGGTTCCAGGCCTCTCCTCAGCTTCTGGGGGTCCGCGGGCGACGCTGAGGTTTGTAGAGGTCATCACCCCATCTGTGCCTCATCTTCGTTGGCTGTTCTCTCTGTCCGTGTGTCCAAGTCCCCCCTTTTTGTGAGGGTGCCACCCCGGTTGGATCAGGGCCCCCTGCTGACCTCCTCTTAATTGATTACTTCAGTAAAGACTACAGGGTGTCCCCCCAAAATGTATACACACGGAACAGCCGATGGCTCAGTTGATGTTTCTTTTCAGATTTAAACCATTAATAATTATTCAAAGTGTGTGTACATTTTTGGGGGGATTCCCTGTATTTCCAAATAAGACCACATTCCCAGGGGCCAGGGGCTGGGACGCCGACGTCTCTATGGGGGGGACACAGTTCAACCCGTAACACTCCCCGAGGTGCCGTAGCACCCGCCAGAGAGCCTCGCATGTGCAGGCCCCTCGTCTAGAAAGTTCTGGCCCCGGCCCCCAGCACACGCTCGCCCAGCGCCCCTGCTGTGTGCGCAGAGCGTCTCCTCTGCGGTCGGTGTGGGCACAGTAGGCCCTTGGACGGCGTGGGTGTGAGCTTCGAGGGTCCACTTCCACCTGGAGTGTTTTTTCAATAAATGTGTGGAAAATATTTTTTTGAGATTTTATTACCAACTAGTCATATTGCTGCTGCTGCTTTGTTTTCAAGGCACGAATGGCGACACGTGTGAGTAAAGATTTCTTATTCACGTTGTCTTTCCTCTTTTTTTTTAATGTCTTTATTGATTTCAGAGAGAGGAATGGAGGGGGAGAGAGAGAGAGAAACATCAGTGCGAGGGAGACGCAGTGATCGGTGGCCTCCTGCACGCACCCCCACCGGGCAGGTCGAACCTGCAACCGGGTACATGCCCTTGGCCCGGAATCGAACCCGCAGCCCTTCCGTGCGCAGGCCGGCGCTCTCACCGCTGAGCCACGCCGGCCAGGGCTCCTTTCACTTCTGGCGTCTCAGGTTAGTCACACGCACCACGCACCCAGGGCTCTGCATTGTACCCGGCGCGCTGACCGGGTCCAGCCGGGCGGCTGTCCTGGAAATGGGCAGCACGAACTTACGGCCGCGACGCACACCCGCGGGAGGCACGGCCTGGGGACTGCCTGGCTTCCCTGTGAGGGGACAGCATGGGGCACGTCGATTTCTACGGGGGTCGGCGCCCCTGACCCCTGCCTGCTCGGGTCCACTGGACCCTCCCCCACGCCCACTCAAGGCGCAAAGAGCGTCGTGAAAATATATGTTTCGAGCACTCGGCAGGCGCTGGAGACGAAATATCATTTCCCCGGGATTAGCCGCGGCCCGAACCAAGCCCGACTGTCTGCGGCGCAGCGGATCCTCCCGGCAGCCCGGCTGGCGGCCTGCGCTCCTCTCCCTCCCTTTCCCCATTCGCCTTCCTAATGAGAAAAGTAACCCAGGCCCCTTGTAGACGCGTCTGAAAACGCACGTGAGCAATGCGAAGGAAAATCCTTGGTGAAGCCGTCGGTGCGGAGGGGCTGGTTCCAACCCTCCTCTGCGTGGACGGAATCGTGGGCGGCCAGGCCTGTGCTAGGACGCCCAGGGGCCTGTTTTCAACGCGTCTGTGTGTCTGTGTGTTGTGCAAACACGTTGGTTATTTCCACACTTGGTAACATTGTACACTATCGGGTGCTACTGTGTCCGCTGCCTGAGACAGTAACAGCCGGGCGTGTACTTAGTAGCGGAGGAGCAGACGCCCTCCTTCCTCCCTCCCGTCCTCTCGGGGTCGCTGCTGCTCCGGGTGGGCCGTGTGTCTTCCCGGCTGCGTGACAAGCCCAGGTGTCCTTTCTAAGCGGCAGCGATCTCACCGCACTGCTGTTCGCAGGGCGCTCTTTGTCACCCCGTATGCCGGGGCCTCTTTTCCCATCAGCGCGAGTGTGTAGGTTCCTTTCTGATCTTTTTTTCCTCCGCTCCCTGGCCCGTCATCTGCACTCGTCGCTTTTAACAGCCGCCATCTGTCCCATCCAAGGCTGCGCTCCTCAGACGGGTCCCTCCCGACGAGCGGCGCCCTGGGCGTCTCTGCGCCCCGTCTCTTTCTTCAGGGCCAAACTCCGGCACAGAGAATCGTCAGAGCCGGGGAGAGACCCCGAGGGCCCCGGGAGGTCTGACACCTGGGGCCCCCCTCTCCGTGTGGAGGACCCCCATCCTCGCCCGCGGCGCCCGACGGTCCCTGCCCATTTGGGCCCACGCACCGGCGTGAATAGTAGCCGCCCGTCTTAGACGGAGACCCTGAACTTGAATTTGCAGTCACCGTTATTGACGCGATACCTTCCTGGTGGTGGACGGTTGTGATTTTGACTTGTGGTCGTGGCTGGGCGGCCTGGCCCCGGAGCCGTGGTCTCACCCACGGGGCTGCGCTCCAGCTCCAGACACGGTCACGGTCACACCCAGTCCCCAGCGTGGTGCCGGTGCCCAGTCCCGCACCCACACCCAGCTGCGGGTTCTCTCACCGAAACCAGGGATGGGTCGTTCTGCTTTAAAACGCCTTCTCCCTTCCACGCGGCTGGGAGGCACCGCGGGCTCCGCCTCGCGGCACGGCCTCACCGAGGGCTTCTCTGTAGTTTGCAGACGGCGTGTACCTGGTTCTGCTCATCGGCCTGCTGGAGGACTACTTCGTGCCCCTGCACAACTTCTACCTGACCCCGGACGGCTTCGACCAGAAGGTAAGCACCCCCCCCC